CAGTCAAATGTGGAGTGAAAAAATGACTTCTCAGACAAATAAAAACTAAAAACACTTCTTGTCCATAAAATTACCTTGCAAAAAAACAAATGTAAGAGAATTTCTTCAGAAAGAAGAAAAATGACATTCATCAGAAATGCCTATCTCTTTAAAAAAGATTACCAGGGAAGAAATAAACAAAGGTAAAATAAAATATTTTATTATTCTTATTTTTAATTGATCTAACAATAGCTGCTCAAAATAATAACAGAAATAATGTACTGGGTTATTATAGCACATGGATAAATAAAATGAATGATGAGAATATTATAAGAATTAAATTGGAAACTGTTATGACATACCCGTAATACCTGTGAAGTAGTATAGTGTTATGTGAAAGCAGACTTAGATTACTTGCACATATATATTGCAAGCCCCAGGGTCACCACTAAAATAACTATAAAAAGGAGGATAATTGACATGCTAAGAGAAAATGAAAACATGTAAAATGGTCAACCAAAACCAGAGAAGGCACTGAAAGAGGGGAAGATAAAAACAAACATAAAAAAAAAAATAGCAATAGCAAACAATTACAACTATTATAGGTATTAATCCAACTACATCAATAGTCACTTTAAATTTGAATACTAGGCTGGGGGGTGGCTCATTCCTATAACCTCAGCAATTTGGGAACCCGAGACAGGCGGATCACCTGACGTTGGGAGTTTGAGACCAGCCTGACCAATGTGGAGAAACCCAGTCTCTACTAAAAATACAAAATTTACTGGGCACGATGGTGCATGCCTGTAATACCAGCTACTCGGGAGGCTGAGGTAGGCGAATCACTCGAATCCGGGAGGTGGAGGTTGCAGTAAGCTGAGATCACACCATTGCACTCCAGCCTAGGCAACCAGTAAAATCGTGTCNAAAAAAAAAAAAAAAAAAGTCAATATTAAATATGCCAATAAAAATCGCATAGATTTCAAAAAAGCAAAATGAAACAAAAGCAAAAAGCAAGTCCCACTAGATATTTCCTGCAAGAAACCTGCCTTAAATATGAGAACATAGATAAATTAAAAGCAAAGGTATAGAGAAAGATATATTATCTTTACACACATTAAAAAAAAACTAGGTTATCCATATTAATTTAAGATAAAGCATATTTCATAGCAATGAAAATTATCTGGAATAAAAAGTCATTACACAATGATAAAGGTCTCAACTTTCCAAGAAGATATGACAAAACATAATGTGCAAGGACCTAACAACATAGCAAAAAAATATATGTTACAAAAATTGATAGAACTGCAAGAGAAAAATGCATAAAATACTATTATAGTGGGAGACTTCCAATATCCCTCTATTTGATATCAAAATCAGATAAAGATACTATAAAAAATAAGAACTATGGATCAATAAGATTCATGAACACAGATGTAAAAATCCTCAAAAAAGTCTGCAAACCAAGTACAACAATCTATAGAAAGAATTGTACATTATGTCAAATTTAGATTTATGCCACCTATGCAAGGCTGATTCAAGATTTGAAATTCTATCAATGTAATATTTCACATCAAAAGGCAAAAGAAGAAAATTCGTATCATCATATCAACACATGCAGAAAAAGAATTTATCAAAATCCAACACCCATTCATAAAATATACATTTAGCAAACTAGGAATAGAGGGGGACTTCCTCTACTTGATGAACAACATCTAATAAATAATCTACAGTTTAGAACACACTTGAGGTTGAAGAACTATTCTTATTTCTCTTAAGATCAGAAAAGCCATTGAGGTCCATTCTTACCACTCGTATTCAACACTATACTGGAAACACTAGCTAATGTAATGCAACAAAAAAAGAAAAGAAAAGAGGCAGATTAGGAAGAAAAAGTATATACAACTGTCTGTTTACAGATTACATCATCCTCTACTTCTAAAGTACAAAGAATTAGCAACAAAAAATATTCTAGACCAATAAGCAATTATAGTAAAGTTTCAGGATACAAGGTTAATATACAAAAGTCAATTGCTTTTCTATATGCTAACAATAAACAAATCAAATTTGATATAAAAATCTTTTCAAATCTTATATCTTTTATTTCCTTTTCTTTCTTTACCTCTATAAGTAGTTTCTGAATAGAGGAGAGGTAGCAGACATTTGTTTTTCCTTAAAGATTTTTCCAACATTTTACATTAATTATATGTGAACTATATAACAAAAATGTAGTATTTGTTTTCATAGATGCCATTTTCCTGTGTAACAAAATGTACTCCTTTGCTTTGATTCCTACTTATCAAAAATAGATGGTAAATTTCCTTGGCCACTTTTCTGTATCTATTAATCAGATGAATTTTCTCATTTAATACTCTATATTTCTGCTAAGACAGAAGTTCAACATCTCTCTACTTGACCTACATGCTCATATGCCTCCTAAATTTCTTAATTTCCCTCTACTTCTGGTTTTTAGGTTTCTTCCCTTTGTTTCAGCTCAACAATGCTTTTAAGGTATGTTTTAGTTTTAAAAATCTAATATAACTCATCCAAGTTTTACCCTAACTGACAGTATATTTTAGGCTTTCTACTCTACCATGTGACCAGAAAAATAATCTATTATTCTTCATCAAAGTCTACAGATGCTTTTCAAGATGTATCCCTGAGCTGAGTGTGGTGACTCACTCCTATAATCTCCATACTTTGGGAGGCTGAATCAGGAGGATCACTTAAGCCCAGAAGTTCGAGACCAGGCTGGGAAACATGATGATAAAACCCTATCTCGGCCAGGCGCGGTGGCTCAAGCCTGTAATCCCAGCACTGTGGGAGCCGAGGCGGGTGGATCACGAGGTCAAGAAATCGAGACCACCCTGGTCAACATGGTGAAACCCC